GTGTGTGTGTGTATGCATGCATGCAAAGGTGTATAATCATTATCGTTGTCGTCATCGACGTTATTGTTGATGGTGGTGACTGTGATAGAACAAGAGGAATTGGAAACGCAATGCGGACAAGAACGACTCGGCAATGCTGCCACTACACTACGACTTTTCGGATGCGAAATTGACGACGTTGGGAGAGCGGGGAGCGTTGCGTGAAGCGGCGCGGTGTCTGAAGTGCGCGGACGCGCCCTGTCAGCACAGCTGTCCCACACAGCTGGACGTGAAGGCGTTTGTGGGGAGCATCGGAAAGAAGAACTACTATGGTGCCGCTAAAGCCATTTTGTCGGACAACCCGAATGGTCTGACGTGTGGCATGGTTTGCCCCACCAGTGACCTGTGTGTCGGTGCCTGTAACCTCACCGCCACCGAGGAGGGTCCAATCAACATCGGCGGTCTGCAGCAGTTTGCTGTTGAGATGTTCGCTAATATGGATGTGCCCCAGGTTGGTCTTTTCCATTGCTTTCTCTCTCCACTCTGACCTAATCTCCTCGCTGCCACTCCTTGTTCCACCCTCTCCCAACCACCCCACTCGTTATGAAGTAGCTCACTTGCTTGCACCACGGAATAGCTAGTGCACATATTGCAGCAAATATTTGTGGATGGCAGTATTGGATGGGTGAATGAGGCAGAGACCTACATTAGCGTCTTCGAGAGTGGAAGAAGGAGCTTAATGCGCTCCGCAACAAAATGACACGTGAAATACGATTAATTGAGTCATCCTCTTGGCACTGGAGGACAGGAAGCATAGCTGTCCACCTACTTTTATGATGGAAATTGGCTTGGAACAGCAGTAATGCCGCAGTTGTTGTCAAAGTTGATTGGTGCCTCGGGTAGTTGTGTTGCAAGAGCTGCAAGGGCAGTGTGTCAGTTGAGGCACTTCATCTCTTCTTGCGCACGTCGCGTAATAGGCATCATAGGTAGGTGGCGTGTAAGTGCAACAACACTTTCATGGTAATGCCGACTGCACAGAAGGGTGTTACGAGACTTCTGGAGGTGACTGCGTCCTTCCTGTTGGTTGCATGTATGGTTTGGTTTTGGCAAGTACTAATGAGTGCCAAGGAGGATTCGCTTCGGCCGGTCCATGACACCAGCGTGGATCATATTTTCCTTATGATTTGATTAATTCTCCATGTGTCGAGTCTATTGACGCATTGTGCGATATGCACTAACACGTTCTCCTCTGAAAATGTACTATTCAGTAGTAATAGCAGAGCCCCATTGACACGTGCTGCTGGTATCCTTTGTGTGTTGAGTTTGTGACGACTTGATGACAGCACGGTGAATGCTCAGGCTTGAGGTCACGACACTTTATGTAATGTGAAAGGATAAGACGGTTGC